CGTTTTTGTTAAGAACATGGATAAAATTGTATATTCATACTTCTCTCTTCTCTCAATTAAGCCTCCTCCCTCATCTCGTACTCTTTCCCAAACTAATCGCTGAGTTTGAAACTCTAAACCCAAAACTGAAATGATAATTTCTCTCTCAATTATTAGTCTTCCTGGTGGAACCTAAAATCAAAATCAATAAGCTTTATGGATGAGTTTTATCAGTTAGTCTCAAAAATTGCAAAGAAATGAACATTAAAATTCATTCATGAAGGTTATTAGTTTCGAATTTGGGTTCCACTAGTTAGACAAACAATTCAGAGAAGAGTGAAGATTTCGGTTTTGGGTTCAAAGTTTCAAACTGAGCGACAGGTTTGGGAAAGAAGTGCGAGGGGAGGGGGGAAGTTTAATTGAGGAGAGAAAAGAGTGTGAATTTACAATTTTATCCACGTTTTAACGGAAATGTTAACAAATGATCATTCGTGGAAATGAATATAAAAATTGGAGACTATATTAGTAATATTTGATATCTAAGGACTAAATATGTAAAATGACCTATACTTGAGTACCTTTTAGGGAATTTATTCTACTTAGATAAAATAAAAGGTTTTGACGCGTAAAGCGTGAAACCGTCACATAAGCCTGTGTGAGGAGGCGTGTTGGAACCAAGTAGGTGGTCATAATTGATAATGTAAACCATTTTCACTCATATTTCAGCAATAAAAACATAGAACTCTTATTTTGGTATATTTTTAATGTTAACTCATACTCTAGTCATTTTACCCTTTTATTTATGTACTTTCTCTATCTCCTATTTATTAAGAAGATTTCTTAATTAACTTCAAATTTAATATTCATATGGTTAAACCAGTTTTTCTTTATTTTCATTAAGCACATCTTAATAAAATAGTCTTGTTACTTCTTGTTATCTAGGCCCTTTGATATAATTTTTAACTATTTAAATCTTATTTTTAAATTTTCATTATTAATAAAATAAACCAAATTTAAAATACCGAGTAACTTCTGCCAAACATTGTAAAGTGAAACCGAAAATAATTTTGAGACCAAGGGAGTATTTGACTACTCTCAACGTCCCATAAAAAGGTTTGACCTTTCACTTGGCACGAAATAAAAAAAATGAAATTGTGTGGTTGAAAGTGATGTATAAAAGAAAAAATTACATTCGTCACAAAATTGTTTTCATAATTAAAAAGTAAAACCTTTTTTATAATCAATGAAAATAGAAATTTACAACATCTGTCCCTAAGTATTCTTTCAGTTTTAAATATTTTGTAGTCAACTATTTTCAATTTTTGATCTATAACTATATAACGAATATATTATATATTAATTTGATAAAATAATATTTTGAAAATATTTTACAAAATAAATATAATAAAATTATTTTTATATTAATATCTAATATCATTTTTGTTTAATTTGATATCAAGATTTACTAATTTCACTAGAAAAACTAAAAATAGACAAATACTTCGTATTTAGAAAGAGAGGTAGTAGAACCTTTTATGCGACTGAGATAATTATTTTAAATACTCCCTATTTCATCAAAACGAAGTAAATTTGCCTTCAAAAAATTACTGTACTTTAATTCGCGCAAAGTGTCAACTGTGTGATCGAAATTTCAAAAGCTTCTAGCATTTTAAAAGACTTTTTCGCAGCTTTAAAAAAAAAGACTTTTTTCACGTCTATCAAAGTCACTGCACCACTGACATAGTAAGTAGTAACATCTACTCGTATCATTATGTCTCTAGTTATTTTTGACCAATTGTTTGGTGTAACTAAATGTAGAATTTAGTGAACTGAATGACTTGATTGTTCCATTGATATCGGAGGATATAAATACAAGTTACAAGCCCAACAAGATAGACCCACAATATTACAAAATAATATACAGAAACTAATATAACATAATATACGTTAACACTCCCCCTCAAGTTGGAGCATAGAGATCAAAAATGCCCAACTTGGACAAAAGAGAACGGAAAAGAGGACCGGGGAGCGCCTTCGTGAAGATATCAGCTGTCTGCAACCGTGTAGGAACATAGGCTGTGACAATATGAGCATGCTGGAGGCATTCCCGAACTATATGACAATCGATATCAATATGTTTTGATCACTCATGAAACACCGGATTAGCCGCAATGAAGAGAGCAGACTTGTTATCACAATACAAGCGCGGGGTAGCAACACAAGGAACCTGTAAAGCGGCTAAGAGACCACGGAGCCACCGGATTTCGGCGCAGGCGTTAGCCATGGCGCGGTATTCCGCCTCTGCGGAAGAACGTGAAACAGTGGTTTGCTTCTTAGTACGCCAAGAAATAGGGGACCCACCAAGAAGGACAAAATAACCAGTGACAGAGCGACGGGTGATCGGACAACTCGCCCAATCTGAATCAGAATAAGCTGTCAAGGTCAGGTCACTATCACGCCGGAGGAGGATACCCTGACCTGGGTGCCCTTTAAGATACCGGAGAACGCGAAGAGCAGTGTTCCAATGGTCCAGACGTGGAGCCTGCATAAACTGAGACAAAGCATGAACAGCATAACAGATGTCTGGCTGAGTAATAGTCAAGTACAACAGACGGCCAACAAGACGACGGTACTTGGCGGCATCCCGAAGCTCAGCACTAGTAGAGCGGGCGAGATTGTGGTTGCTGGGCAGTGGGGTGTCGGCAGGCTTGCATCCGGAGAGATTGTGCTCTTGAAGAATGTCCAATGTGTATTTGCACTGATTAAGAACCATACCAGTAGAGGATCGAGCACACTCGATACCCAGAAAATAAGAGACCGGACCAAGATCTTTGAGCTGAAAACATGCATCCAAGTACTTTTTAAAGGAAGTGCACAAGAAAGGATTATTGCCTGCAACAAGAATATCATCCACATAAACAAGAACAACAAGTATATCAGGACTGCGACAGAGAACAAAAAGAGTATGATCCGCATGGGCCTCGCGAAAGCCATAACGACGCAGAGCCATACGAAGCTTGGCAAACCAATTACGGGGAGACTGACGGAGCCCGTATAAAGACTTTCGCAAACGGCAAACCTTCCCAAGAAACAAATGAGAGTATCCAGGTGGGAGCTTCATATATATCTCATCCTGAAGATCCCCGTGTAAAAAGGCATTGTTGACATCCAACTAGTCAACCTGCCATCCTCGTGCAACTGCGACAGACAACAACACCCGAACTGTAGCCAACTTGGCTACAGGGGCAAAAGTATCAGTGAAGTCGACCCCCACCTCTTGGTGGTTTCCCAAGACAACCAGACGGGCTTTATCCCGCTCCTTGGTCCCGTCAGACCGATATTTAGTGCGATACACCCACTGACAACCAAGGGCCCGCCGATTAGGAGGTAGAACAGTAATCTCCCAGGTATGGTTGCGCTCCAATGCATTAAATTCCTGTGCCATAGCTTCCCTCCAAGAAGCATATCGGACGGCTTCCCTATATGATGTGGGAACCGGAGAAGCATCAATAGCACCAAGAAAGCCCTTGTACCTGTTATGCAACTTATCATAATGAACATAGTTAGTAATCGGGAACCATGTACCAGACGAGACGGAGCCAGGTGAAGAGGGAGACGGAGTGACGGTAGACACAGAATGGAGGACATAATCATTGAGGTGGGTGGGGAGGCGACGTGTGCGAGGAGGTAAAGGAGACGGAGACGGGACAGACGAGGTAGACTCGCCCGTCGACTGGACATTGACGGGAAGAGGGGGCTGTTCGGTTGACTGGACTGGAATGGGAGACGGGGTTGAGGACGGTGGCGGGCTGGGCTGCTCGGTGGTGGTGTCGCCGAGGGAGGCTGCCGGCGGAGAGATGACGGGAAAGTCGACGTCAGCGGGGTTTAAGACGGGTTGGACGGAACTGGTTGTGTTTGGAACAGAGAACGGGAATTGTGATTCGTCAAACACGACATCCCTAGCGTGAAAAAACTGGTGAGTATCCAAGTTATACACCCGCCACCCTTTTGTTCCATAAGGATACCCAATAAACATGCACTTCACGCTACGGGGAGAAAATTTGTTTAGAGGTTTAGGTGTTTGACGGACAAAACAGAGACACCCAAACACCCGGAGATGACTCAAATCTTGTGGTTTAGACGAAAGTACTTCAAGAGGAGATTTCCCACCCAAGAGTTTTGTCGGTGTGCGATTAATTAAGTAAACAGCAGTTTTGACACATTCCCCCCAAAATTCAACTGGAAGAGATGCTTGAAACATGAGAGAACGAGCAACGTTGAGAATGTGACGATGCTTTCGTTCTACTCGACCATTTTGCTGAGGGGTACCAACACACGATGTTTGGATACAAAAACCCATGGAATCATAATATTGACGCAAAGGGGCATTGAGAAATTCTGTGTCATTATCAGACCGGACTACTTTGATGATTTTAGAGAATTGGGTGTGAATCATGGTAAAAAACCGTTTAAGACAAGATGTTACCTCACTTTTAGTACGAATAAGATATACCCAAACAGCACGAGAAAAATCATCAACAATTGTGAGAAAATAATGAGCACCAGATGACAAACAAGGAGAATAAGGACCCCATAAATCACAATGAATTAAGCCAAAAATTGCTTCAGCTTTATTATGACTAACCGGAAAGGAGGAACGAGTTTGTTTAGACAAAAAACAAATCTCACAAGCTTGAAGTTTCTTGATAACAGAACCAGACTTATTGGACTTTAAAAGGGAAATAATATCTGAGGAAGGATGACCCAAACGTTGATGAAGAAGCAAAGGATCCACATTAGCCACATTAGCCAACGCAGAGGAAGAAACCAGGATGTATACTCCGTTTCGCTTTTCACCCTGTCCAATCACCATCTTCGACGAACGGTCCTGTATTACACAACCAAAATCATTAAAAGTAACATAACATGTGGTGTCCCGAATCAAACACCCAACAGAAATCAAATGACAATGCAACGTGGGGACATAAAACACATGATGGAGAACTAGACTAGGGGTCACACGGACACTTCCCTTTTTAGTAGCCTGAATCCGGGAGCCATCGGGAAGACATATAGGATGAGACAAAACATCCTCAATATTGAACATGTGAGACAAAATACCCGTCATATGATGAGAAGCACCGCTATCAATCAACCAATCACACAAGTTACTAGTCATCCTGTTAATTTTATGTTGATGTTATCAAACCAACCAAATTCAATCTGCTGGACAAATTGCAAAATAATGAACGGACAAATCTGGAAACTGAGCACTTGTGGAGAAAAAAAAACTACTGCGCAATTTGAATAAGCTGCTACAGTGAGGCTACTGCGGCAATTGGACGGACGGAACCCTTATCGCAGACGATCGGAAACAGAGAAGGATGGACGGCCTGGTGAATCTGGACGGCGACTCCAGTGGGCGAACAGGGATGGAGATTCTTCACAGATGACCGGAAAAGGGACGGGCGAACAAGGATTGCCGGCGACTATGACGGAGACGCGCGTTCAGAACCGGAACGGGCGACGATGGCCGACTTAGGCCAGTGACTTGGACGGAGACCTTCAACCGGAGCAGAGATGTCCGATCCCGTGACGGCGACGGCGGAGGAGACTTGGACAATCGGCGAACGAGAGACGAGACTTAGATCTAGGGTTTTGGCTTTGATACCCTGCAAAATTTAGTGTAGTGAATTGAATGACTTGATTATTCCATTGATACCGGAGGATATAAATACAAGTTACAAGCCCAACAAGATAGGCCCACAATATTACAAAATAATATACAGAAACTAATATAACATAATATACGCTAACACTAAAGTCGTCTATTAATGAAAATAGTTCGTTTTTATGTTTATATGTGAAATATGAATATCTTATGCTTTAAATAAATTGATAAATGGATATTTTTTGTTAAAGGTTCAATTATTTTATAATATCAATATACTAAGACCTGTAAAATAAACATAAACCTTATGAAAAATACTTATTGGAGGGGGGAGGCTAAGAAATGCATAGCAAGCAGTGTTTATACACGCACAGATATTGAGTGTGTATGTGTCTTTTATTATCTTGGTATGCATTTTTTGGGTTCTCCTAACACCACCCACTATTTATTGTGGACCTTCTAAGATAAAAAAAATGCTACCCCTGACTCCCTGAGTATATATTTTGTATTCCTTCTTTTTTCCACTAATCTTCCCAATGCGCGCTATGAAACTTGATTAATTTTGTTTTCAATTGAATTTATTTAAAAGGTTTAAAATTCAAAATTAAAATTTATATAGTAAAAAATTACATAAAAAATTGTACGAAATAAGAAGTGATGCCAAATAGAACCAATACCCTCCGCGATTTGGAAAATTGACACCAATACCCCATCTGTTTTGAAAACATATTTCTAAAGGTCTTGTGGTTTTAAAACGTTGTACTCATACCCCATCTGATCATTTTCCGGCCATTTTCTACGAAAAGAGGACATTAGTGCCTTTTTTCTAAACCTTAGGAGACACAAGTGCTCATTTTTTATTTTTCGTTTATTTTATTTTGTTTTATTCCTTTTTCCTTTTATTTGTTTTTTATTCATCAAGATTTTTTTTTTGAAATTTTTTTTATAATGTTCTTAAAATTTTAAGTTATTTTTGTCTGAAAAAGAAATTAACATATACTTTATTCAGACGTCTCAAATTAACATTTTTTGTTTTCTGAAATAAAAAAGTAAAAACTTATTTGAGAACTTCAAAAAATGACAAACAAAATAAGAAATAAAATAAAACAAAAAAATGAATATCCTTGTTGAACATCCCAATTCTAAGAACTTTTTAGGCGTTTTGGAATTTCTTTTTGTATAAGACTCTTTTTGAGTTGTTTTAATTTTTTTCATTTTGTGTTTCCATATTTTTTTTTATTTTTTATTTTTGATTTCCGATTTGAACTTACCAAAAATATTATTGTTGAAGACAAAAAATTAAAATATTTAATTTTCAATAGATGAAGTATATGTTAATTTTTTGAGTAAATTTCATAAAAGGTCCTCAGTTATAGGTCGTTTTACATATTTAGTCCATACATATCAAATATTACTAATTTAGTCCTGGATTATTATATTCATTTCCACGAATGATCCTTTGTTAACATTTCCATTAAAACATGGATAAAATTGTAAATTCACACTCTTTTCTCTCCTCAATTAAGCTTCCCGCCTCCTCTCGCACTCCTTTCCCAAACCCGTCACTGAGTTTGAAACTTTGAACCCCAAACCGAAATAATCAAAACCAGTAACCTTCATGTATGAGTTTTAATGTTCATTTCTTTGCAATTTTTGAGATTAACCGATAAAATTCATCCACAAAGCTTATTGGTTTTGATTTTAGGTTCCACCAAAAAGACTAATAATTGAGAGAGGAATGATCATTTTAGTTTTGAGTTTAGAGCTTCAAACTCAGCAAAGAGTTTGGGAAAGAGTACGAGATGAGAGAGGAAATTTAATTGAGGAAAGAGAGAAGTATGCATATACAATTTTATCCATGTTCTTAACAAAACGTTAACAAAGGACGATTCATGAAAAATGATATAATAATTGGGGACTAAATTAGTAATATTTGATATGGAGGGACTAAATATGTAAAACGACCTATAACTGGAGATCTTTTATGGAATTTACTCTATCTAGGTAGCTTTGTATTTCGGAGCTGTGATCTTTTAGTAAACAAAGCTTTGATATCATGTCAAGCTAAGGAACGAACTCAACTAAAAACTCAATGTATTGCTCTTCTTGTCTTTTCGGCTAAATATAAAATTAAGGAGCTCAGATTGGGTGAGCATGATATGATATTTAGTTCGTACCCAAACCGTAACAAATATTTTGATTCGACATGAGGTTTTACGTTATACCGATTTTGATCTCAAAATACCAATTTGATATGGTTCAGGATTGGTTTCGGTACAAATCGGAATGAATACATACGTACCTAGTTTACATTTTAAAATGTAACAAATTCCTTTTTTTGTAAAATAAAAAATATATTTAAATGATAAAAAGTAAAAAGTGAATAACTAAATGCAAGAAATGCTTATTAAATCTTAGTTGATACTACTCCGTCCCTAAGTATTTGTCCTTTTTTTATTTTTTTGGTCAAAATTGGTAAACTTTGATCTCAAATTAAATAAAAATGATATTAGATATTGATACAAAAATAGTTTTCATAGATTCATTATATCAAATATTTTCAAAATATTATTTTATCTAATTAATATACACTATATATTTTATTTAATTATAGGTCAAAGATTGAAAACAGTTGAACGAGAAAAGTCAAAACTCGACACATACTCAGAGATGGAGGTAATATTTCACAAACTATAAAATTAAAATGATAACAAAATTGTATTTTGAATGTTTGATAATACTTTTATATTATCTACAAAAAATTAAAATTCGAACAAAAATATAATTTACACATGGTAAAACTTATTCCAAATTTTCGAAATGAATTTATTATTTAATGAAGAAATATATAAAAACTACTCCCTCCGTCCCATAAAATATTTCAACATTCTCATCTTATCCGTCTTATAAAATATTTTAATTTCTCCAAAATGGACTAAAATGCCCCTATTTAATCCTATTTTCCCACATCTCATCTTACTTTTTGTTTTTTAATTACTTCTTCCCATTATTCTTAACTATTACTCCCTCCGTCCTAGAGTATTTGTCCACTTTCATTTTTACACACTATCCAATGCACTTTTTTAATCCATTTTATCTTGTAATTTGTATATTAAAAAATTATAGAAATTATATATTAATAATCTACTCCCTCCGTCCCGGAGTATTCGTCCAGTTTTGACTTTTGGAACTGTTCATCTAAGCATTTTGACTCATCAAATTCTCTCAATGTGTAAGCATAAATGTAGTCATGTGTGATCTTGTTTGATTTGTCTTAACATATAGATTATTAATATATAATTTCTATAATTTTTTAATATACAAATTACAAGATAAAATGGATTAAAGAAGTGTATTGGATGGTGTGTAAAATTGAAAATGGACAAATAATCTGGGACGGAGGTAGTATATGTTAAGACAAATCAAACAAGATTACACATGACTATATTTAGGCTTACACATTGAGAGAATTTGATGAGTCAAAGTGCTTAGATGAACAGTTTCAAAAGTCAAAAGTGGACAAACAAAGCAGGACGGAGGGAGTAAATGTCAATTTATAGTAACACATTGTTACATTTGATTTATATAGGACTAAATGACAGTACGTTTCCCTGAATAGGACAAAGTATGTTTTATTTCCTTTATGACACATATTTCTATATGATTTCCCATATATGATCTCATTAACAACAAGTGTTGGATATTGAATGACTATTTATTTAATTTACTAACTATTTAAATTGTTTTTAATAATGTTTAATTATACTTGAATTGTGTACTAAGGCCCTGTTCCGTACAACTTATTTTTTCTTATTTTTTCTTATTCTTATTAAAATCAGATCAGATCAGACCAGATCAGATCCAATCAGATCAGATCAGATTTAATCAGATCAGATCAGATCAGATCCAATAAGATCAAATCAGATCCATTCAGATCAGACCAGCTCAGATCAGATCCAATTAAGAATTATTATTATTATTATTATTATTATTAAAAAAGAAAAGAATAAACTTTAGATACAAGTTAAATAGAAAACTGAGAAAGTAATTCTTAATTATTAGTCGTCGGAAAAATTATATTTGAAATACATTGACAATGTCAATCTAATTCTACTTTTAGAATACATTTTTATTTCTACCTGTAATTAGAGTTTCTAAAGTTTTGATCATTTACTACATCGAGTTGATCAATTTTGATCATGACTTAAATAAAATTAACATTTGATATTCATATACGGAGTATATTTTAGTGTAACTGAAATAACTATTATATGTATGGTCTTATATTAATCATAAAAAAAGTTTCGTAGTACAAAGTACACGTTTATATTTTATAAGGATGAGATATTTTAATAAAAACACAATCTCTTTTCTATATTCATTATCTAAGTTTAATTACTTTTTAATGTATACATGAATTAAATATTTATTCTAATATATATATATATATATATATATATATGAACTAATTATTAAAATATGAAATCAATGTTTTTATTTCATAAAAAAATAGTCATAAAATAAAAAATATTATTATATCATAATACGAATGATTATTTTAATATATGATATAAATAATTTTATTTCATTAAAAAATAATCATAAAATAAAAAATATTGATTATATTATAATATGAATTATCATTACAATTTTCAAACATTATTATAAAGTCAAATCAAATTATTGATTTGAATTTTAAATCAAATCATAATTAATCAGATCACACCATATTAGAGTCAATCCAATTAGATCAGATCAGATCCAATCAGATCAGATCAGATCAAATCCAATCAGATCAGATCAGATCAGATTCAATCAGATCAGATCAGATCAGATCCAATCAGATCAGATCAAACCAGATCAAATCAGATCAGAAGTGCAAAAAATCAGATCAGATCAGAAAAAATAAGTTGAACGGAACGGAGCCTTAAGTCATATTTTCAAAGACAAAGCATTTTTGAATTTATAATTGTCAAACGTTAGAATAAATATGAGTAGGGAAGGTGAAATGAAGTCTCATATGGTGAAATTCAACTTCTTTTAAATTTGAGATGGAGGGGTACTTACTAAATTTATGGACTCTAAAGTACTTAGAGCATGTGACGTCAATTTTATGAATTGAAGAAGTACTCCCCGCGTCTACAAATAAACTTCTCGTTCACTATTCAAAGGGTCAAACTCTATTCACTTTGTTGGTCTATTTTTGTCTCCTATTTGATAAAATGATATAGTCATATTAGCTCTAGTTTTGTAGATCTTTTGATATTGTTTTTTATTATACAATTTTAATTTTTAAATTTTACACTGTTTTTATATAAAATGATTTGAAAACAACTTTAGTTAAACAACGCCATACTTTATGTAGATCATGAAAAATCAATTTTAAACGGAAGTTTATTTAGGGGCTGTTTGTTTTTGCTTCTTAATGGTTCAGATGTCTGAATGGTTCAGCATTTAATGGTTCAGACTGTTTGTTTCAGCCTATTAATGGTTCAGATGTCTGAATGGTTCAGACATTTGCCTCTGAATGGTTAAGTATTATACAGAGTCTGAATGGTTAAGACCTCTTATCTGAATTGATCAGACATTTGCCTCTGAATAATTAAGCAATATACTAGCTCTTAATGGTTTAGACCTCTTACTGGTTCAGCATTTAATAGTTCAGACCTTTTACTGGAGTATTTATCATGTGGATCATGAAAAGTCAATTTAAAAATATTAATGGAGCACAAAGTACACCATAAATAGAGAGTAACCACTAACCACTCACCGTGGTGGCAACTGGCAAGTTTCTTAGCCAATCCGATCGATCACAAAGTTTAATTTTCAATGGCGGGCAAGTGCAGTTCTTCTACTGTTGAAAACAGAGATAATGTGGCGGTGGTGATGGTGCCACTTCCGGCCCAAGGCCATCTGAACCAGCTGCTCCACTTCTCCCGCCTCATCTCCTCCCACCACATCCCCGTGCACTATGTCGGAACCTCCACCCACATCCGCCAGGCCACCACCAGGGTTCACGGCTGGGACCCACTCGCAACAACAGCCGCCGCACCCTACCTTCACTTCCACGAATTCCCCATGCCGCCGCAGATTCAGTCTCCGCCGCCGGCTCACGACCCCACCACCAAATTCCCATCCCAGCTGATGCCGGCGATTCTAGCAATACAGCATCTCCGGCAGCCCCTCATCGACCTCATCCGCCACCTCGCAGTTTCCAAAAACAAGGTAGTTGTCATTGCGGACTCGGCCATGGGTTTGGTAGTTCAGGACGTGCCTTCCGCCGCAAACAACGCAGAGGTCTACCGTTTCCGTTGCGTTTCAGCGTTCAATACATATTCTTACTATTGGGAAGCTGCCGGAAAACCAGTAGTCGGCGGGCCGGATGCGGAAATTCTAAATTTTCTGCCGTCTCTGGAGGGCTGCTTCACTCCCGAGTTTGAAGAATTCATGAGGGGTCAGGTAGCTTGTTGGGATGTAAGCTCGGGAGATATTCTGAATTCCAGTCGAGAAATAGAAGCCCCATTTCTCGATCTTCTTGGGAGAGTATCAAAGGGATTCCAATGGGCTATTGGCCCAATCAACCCCATTTCTCTCAGCAATCCAACCGGTTCAGATCAAAACCGTCATGAATCCTTGGTTTGGCTTGACGGGCAGGAGAAAGACTCTGTTCTGTTTGTATCCTTTGGGTCGACCACTTCACTCTCCGAGGAGCAGATAACAGAGCTGGCCATTGGGCTGGAACAGAGCACGCTGAAGTTCATTTGGGTGTTGAGAGAGGGCGATAGAGTTGACATTTTCCGCGGTGGGGATTCGAGGGGAGCAGTACTGCCGGAAGGGTACGAGGAAAGGATCCGAGATAGGGGGATTGTGGTCCGGGACTGGGCGCCTCAGTTGGAAATTCTGGGGCACCCGGCAACCGGAGGGTTTGTGAGTCACTGCGGGTGGAATTCGTGCATGGAGAGCATTTCAATGGGAGTGCCGGTGGCGGCTTGGCCGATGCACTCTGACCAGCCGAGGAATGCCACGCTGCTAACACATGTCCTGGGGATTGGGTTCAGCTTGGTGGACTGGGCACGGCGGAGCGAGGTGGTGGGACGGGAAGAGGTGGCGAAAGGGGTGAAGAAGCTGATGGCGTCCGCAGAAGGAGGGGAGATGAGGAAGAGGGCGGTTATGTTGGGTGAGA